TTCATGTGCTCTCATTCCAACTGTTTATTATGTGACTCCAGCATTAACATCAGCTTGTTTATGGTCTACCAGCTGCTATGCTCTTGATCTTCCAGCTGAAAGCAAATCTTGCTCCACCAGACATGGAATAAAAATTCTGAGCGGACACGGTGGTTCTTTTATGATCTGCATGCTGTGTTTGCTTAGCTGCGAGGTTCAGTGAGCTCCCTGCTGCAGACGGTCGCCAGAGATGAGGACATGTCCTGGGCCAGACGGGAGCAACAGGCGCTGGGCAGAGTGCCCTCTAGAGGTGGGTGGCTGACTGTAACAAAACCAATTGCTGTTTATTAATATTTAATAATTTGACAACCTTTGAAGGCAAAGAAGATCTGTGGTATTACTTTTTTGCCTTTGAATATATTCTGTTCACCTTTTTTTTTTCTTCCTCTCTCTCCATTCCTCCTTCATCTTTCCTCCCCCCTCCAGCGCCGTCTCCCCTCCCCAGCCGCTCTCGCTCCAGCTCAGTGGGGGAGTCTCTGGGTCTGGGAGGAGGGAGAGCCATGAGAGCCTTGGTGTCTCACCCCTCCTCATCCAACCCTAAGCTCCTGCCGTTTAACAGGGGAGAGACTGTCACCGTACTGGTCCAGGAGCCGCGCAACGGCTGGCTGTATGGACGCACTGACAGCAGCCTGCGGTAGATATTGAAAATTAAAGATTTACAGGGCCTGTGAAAAGTATTTACCCCCGCTGGAAGTTTTACCCATTTATTGCTTTTCGACTTTGAATCATGGTCAATTTAATTTGGCTTTTTTGAAATAATAGTAAAAAAAAAAAATAGTAAAAGTTTTATAGTAGAGTGGCAAAGAGAAAGAAACTGCTGAAAGAAACACATATTCGAGTTTGCTAGAAGGCATGTTGGAGTCTCTGAAGTCAACTTGAAAGGCTTTATGAAAAGGTTCTTTTGTCTGATCGGACCAAAACAGAGGATTTTGGCCAACAGACTAGATGCTATGTTTGACAGACACCAAGCACTGCACATCATCCCAGATACAACATTCCTACTGTAAAGCATAGCGGTGGCAGCATCATTATGTGGAAATAATTCTCAGCAGCAGGTTTTTTTATAGATAGAAGGTAAATTTTACGCAGTAATGGGAAAATCCCGGAAGACCGCCTGATGCTGTCTGCAAGAGAAATGCGACTTGGGAGAAGATTTGTGTTTCATAAAGACGATGACTTGAAGCATACAGCCAAAGCCACGCTGAAATGGTTTAAAGACAACAAGGTGAATGTTCTGGAGTGACAAAGTCAGAGCCCAGAGTAGGGCTTTGTGGCTAGACTTAGACTATTCACTCACGATGCCTGTGAAACCGGGCTGAGCTTGAACAGTTTTGCAAAAGAGAATATGGTCAAATTGCGGTGTCCAGATGTGCAAGGCTGAGTGAGACCTATCCACACAGGCTCAGTGCTCAGATTGTGGACAAAGGTGCAAAATTGGGATAAACATGTATGCAACCACCTATTTGAATTTTTTACAATTATTTTTAAATTATATGTAGAAATCTGGGCTGCAAGGTGGCTTGATGGTTAAGCTAGAAGGTCGCCGGTTCGCGTCCCAGTGAGGACCCCCGGGATCTTTCTGTGTGGACGTGCATGTTCTCCCTGTGCAGCGTGGGTTCTCTCCGGGTTCTCCAGCTTCCTCCCACAAGGTCTAAAAACATGTTGAGGTTAATTAGTGATTCTAAATTGTCCGTAGGTGTGAATGTGAGTGTGCTTGGTTGTCTGTCTCTAAGTGTAGCCCTGTGATAGACTGGTTACCTGTCCAGGTGAACCTGCCTTCACCCTGAGCTGAGATAGACTCCAGCCCCCCATGACCCTAGTGAGGATTAAGTGGTGTATAGATGATGGATGGATGGATGGATGGATGTAGAAATCTGTTTGCGCTTTGACTTGAAAGAGTCATATTTTAAAAAATTCTTGTCAAAGATCTAAATTCTTCGACCATAATTCAGTGTTGAAAAGCAACAGGAGGAGCTTCCAAGGGGGACGAAAACTTTTTATGGCCACTTAATGTCCATGCATGTACAGAAGCCACGGATTTCTTTTTCAGCAGGTTTGAACTGTGACGATCTGTGTCTTCATCAGTAACCTGAAGTAACTACAACATTTTTCTGTATGGCTGTGACACAACCTTCTCTTTTTTACACTCCTCCTTGTTATTGACAGTGACAGTGGAACCACATCACAGATGAATGAGCGACTCAAAATGCCCAAAGAATTTGTGATGAAAAATCCTGGCATTATTGTACATTTGTCACGAGAACCAAAGGTCTCCAAATTGTGATTACTCACTTGTATGGGCAGTAGGTTGATGGCCTTGGAAAGTTGAGAATAGCAGAGTGCTGTGAAAAGAGAAATCTCAGAATCTAAATGCAATGGTTGAGTCATGTTATTGATCAGGAATTCAACAAACCCACACGGTGTCATTTTGCGCAATAAGGCGGTAAACCTATTAATTTTATTTTTTATCACTTTAAACCATGAGATGAAGTCTGAACTGTATTTTGTGTAGGTTTCTAATGTGTAGGCAAGAAGTACTGTTAAACAAAAAAGAAGTTTGATAATCTAAAGCAGAAAAATTGTGTAACAGTTATTTAACAGGTATTAACAGATATTTACAGACACAGCACACCTTCACTACAAATACAGAAGTAGTGATTGGATGATAGAATGTTTTATGAAGTCCTGGTAGAAGGACAGGAGGATGGAGTTTGAGTTTGCTGTTGCCTAATCTGTCTTATCTCCTCCAGTCAGGGCTGGTTCCCTGCTGCGTACGTGGCCCCTATTGAGGATTTCTCCAGTACTTTATCGACAAGGTAGGAGCTGATATCAATCAGCACAGCAAACTTCTGAAGAGAATATTAAATGATACAAAAAAAAATCTCCATAGTATGGTGGTTAACATCTTTGCTTTGCTTCACACTAAACAACAAGAGGAAAAAAAACGCTACTGCTTTAAATGCTTTATATTCTGTTATCTTTTAGCAAAGTGTCTCAGATTATTGTCTTGTCATAAATCACGACAATTTCCTCCTCTGACCCGGGCAGCGGTGGTTCTCTGAGAAGCCACAGTATGAACAACCTGCTGGACACTGACACCTACACGGACCAATCAGAGAACAAGAGCTCCGGGGATATCCCGCCCCCTGCCACACCCAACCGTAGAGCCTCCGTGGACTTCCGGCCGATCTCTCCGCTACCCGAGAAGAAGGCAGAGCCAGCGATCGAGGCGAAACCCAGTCAAACAAAGAGCTACAGCGAACACCAGCCGCCACCTCCTCCCCCACCGCCTCCTCCTCCACCAAGTCAGGGTCTCAGAAGGGCCTCGGTAGACTTTCGACCAGTCTCCCCCCTCCCTGAGAGGAAGGGTGAATCAGCAGCCGATGTCCAGGTACTGCACGCTTACTTCTCATGAGTTTTCTGCTCAATATCAAGTAATTCCACTTCACTTATTTCTGGTTGTTCACATTGACAAACCTTTTTTTAGGCACTATCACCCCATGGGCCGCCTGAAAACCCCTTGTTTCCCAGGTAACTCTGTGTGCATATGAGTGAATTCAGTGTATGATTAATTGTAATATCTTTTATTGAGGAATATCAATCAGTGTCATGTCAGAGAAGCAACGTGTCAGAAACTATCCCAATTCAAAACGGATTTAATTCCACATACAGAACACATAAATCATGTGGCAGAATTATAAGAAGATAAATGGGGATGTTGCATTTGTGTAGATTTTTAATTTCTGTGCTGTTTAGGAGACACCCAGGAAGAATACAGTTGAATGCATTTTGCAAATTTTCTTGGCATGAAAATGATCACAATCTTAATTGGACCATGCTTAAAGTGTATTTTGTTTGTGCGTTTACCTTTGTGGTTGTTGGTGACTAGATTATCATGTCCATAGATTAAGCTTTAATTAATAAACAATAAACCTTTGTCAAATGTAGGTTTTAGAAAAATGACCTCTGAAGCAAGTCAAAACTTACCTTCCTCAAAGAGTCTGGTGTTAGTTTCCTAACCTGGAGTGTGTGCATGTGTGTGTGTGTGTGTGTGTGTGTGTGTGTGTGTGTGTGTGTATGTGGTTTATTTGTGTTGGTCAAAAGCAGCTGAGCATGTGAGGTATTGTGTAACATTTTCCGTCATCCTCTCGTTTCAGAGGCACAAACCCATTTGCCACAGTAAAGCTTCGTCCCACGACGACCAATGACAGATCTGCTCCTCGGATCCCCTGACCCGTCAGCGCTCATCCACGCAGGGTTTGTAACCGAGGCTGGGAGATCAGGTTGTGGAGGGAGGATATACATTTTTGTTTTGTTTTTGTTTTAGGGTAATGTAGTGACGGATCTGAGCCAGACGGGCAGAAGAAGAGAGTTTGTGTACAGTGTTAGATAAGGTGCTTCTTGCACGAAAAACAAAAGTGATTCTTTAGTGCATCAAAATAATTAAATATAAGAACCATAAACTAGTTGTTTCAACAACTCATTGTACAGTATTTAAGTTTTTATGCTGATCGGTAGTTTTTCTCTTATGGAAAAAAGAAAGTTTAACATTTTGTGAAATACACTTTTTTGCCAGGAGTTAGAAGAGAAGATCGATACAGCTTCTGAATATGGAGTTATAGCCAGCAGCTAGTTAATTTTGCACGTTTTTGATTTTTTTTTTTTACCCCTTGGCAGAGCCAGTCTTGCTGTTTCCCCTGTTTTTACTCCATATGCTAAGCTACCTAGCTGCTGGCAACACATTTACTCCACATACATAAGAGTTGTATCGGTATTCTCATTTTAATTAAAGGAAACCAAAGCGAATAATCACATTTCCCGAAATGTTGAACTTAGATTCTTTATCCTTTTCACTGTCTAATGATTGACATGTTTGTTGCGTTATGTTTTGTGAGTTCAATGTTTTGTGTTCACGGACAATAAGTAAAGAGACAGTTACTCAAGTTTATTTTATTGTCATTTCTTACTGAGATCTTTTCTCTCTTCACAGCTCTCCTTATATATGACTTTGTTTACTACATCATCTGATCAGAGGCAGGGAGTGAGGAGGAGGAGTGGATAGAGGAGAGGAGGCGAGGTGAAGGAGGTGAGGGAAGGTGGATGAGGAAGAGGAGTGGGAGGAAAGTGCACTGATATGTGAACATCCAGAAATAAAACCAATCAAGACAAAATGCACAACCTCAAATACACAGAGGAAGGAAATTAAGATTTAAGGAGTCTTCATTACATCTACACCATCTACAACACTAGTACCACCTGTATTCAGACCACAAACTATCCTCATGAAATCATTAAGAATGATTCTGAAATCCATACAGCATGTGTGGTTAAATATATATAAAAAATGAAAAAAATTAAAAATGAAACTGGTGCCTGTTATGCCTGTATGTTCCTCCTCATGGTGACTCCCTGTCGGCCTGGTTTTTGGTAGTGCTTTGTAGAGGGCAGGCCTGGTCTGACTCCACACGTGGGGTCCAGAGGGAGGTAAGAAGAGTTTGAAGGTGGCATTTACAAAATATGAATGCAGGGACGAAGAGGAGGAGGAAGAAGACGGGGGGTGTTCAGCTATCCCCTACTCATGCACCAAGGCCTCAAACTCTGAAAAAAAGGACACAAACAGAAATGAAAATGTGCACAAATGATGACTTTTAGCCTGACTTATTCATCTTTCCCACAGAGCTCCACTATTAAAAACTGTTAAAAACACCATATGCACACACTGCTGCCACTATAAAGTCAAGTTAGCGTTGATTTCTGTGGAAAAGTAGGTCCCAGCAAATGCAGTTTTATCTTTTTTTTAAATAATGTTTGCTAAAAACGACACCTACACTGAACAAAATGAGAATAATTGTTAGGTTAAATACTAGTTATGGTCCTTTCAAAGAAAATACTCATGATATGAAAACAGTCAAATCGTTTCTGTCTCATTATTTAGTTGATAAAATTAGTATATAAATGTAGACTGCATTTAAAAAACTTCACCCCCTGTGAAAACCACACCAGAGGGGCTAACCCTGCGACAGTTTCCATTCCTCTGTTGATGTCGTTTAACTCTTCAGGATGCATATTTGCTTCAAAGGTAAACAATTAGCAACATCCTCTTTTTTCATAAGAAGCAACCAGGATCACAGAAATGTTGGCGCAAGTCTGAAGAATCCCACGTATTTTAACCTACAAGCTAACCTCTACGCTCCCCTCACACTCACTGTTTCTTTCTTTCCCTTTTCTTTTCATTTTTAGATGTTAAATATAATCACACTGTGCTAATTTTTCTCTCACCGTCGATGCCGATCTTGCCGTCTCCATCTTTGTCTGCGGCTGTGAGGAATGCTTTTGTCTCGGCGTCAGTCAGATCTCTGCCATCCTTGGAAAAGCCCTTCAGTACAAACCTGAGAAAAGTACAGGGTGAGATGCAACAACGTGCAGAACATCAATTTTAAGTAGTATAATCTGTCTGTCTCTCCAAGCCTGCTTTTTTTTTTTACATGTCCCTTACTTGAGCTCTTCTTCCTCTATGAATCCGCTACCATCCACATCCAGAACCTGGAAGACCTTCTTGACGTTTTCAGCCGACATGGCCTTCATTCCGATCATTTCGAAGAACTTTTTAGGGTCGAATGTTTCTCCTGCAAAAAGGCAAAGCAACCACCAGGTCATAGGAGGGCATGATGAATTCTTTCACAGCCTGTTTGTGCATTGAATAGATTAACATTTGTGTGGTGGTTCACTGTCACTATCAAACCTCTGGAAACTCTGTTACACACCTGCAAAGGCATCAAGAGCTTTCTTGATCTCCTCAGGTTTTAACAGGTCTGTCATCACCATTTTTCTGGCTGTAGAAAGGGACAGAGAAGACATACAAGGGTACAAAGTGAGAAGTGAAAGAACAGCGTTTCTAAGAGACAACAGCGGGAGTGGAAGATTCCCAACTTGTACTGAAAATGTGCCGGTTGTTAGAAAATAGACGAGAGTCCCAGGTTTGAGTCAACAGCAAATTAAATAAATGAAAATGTAGTAAATGAACGTAGTTTGTTGGTTGGAGGTTGAAGCACTCAAGCAAACACAAGCAGGATTTGGACCCCGATGGGCCTGCTAGGATTTTCTGAAGGCATTCGTCCTCCGTGGAACTTGGCACAATGGGGCTGGAGAGGGTTGACTAAAGGCCATAGGTTAGAATTAAAGACCTAAATGCAGTCTGGCATACACCCAAGAGGACGCACAAACATATACATCATTATATTCAGACACACAACCACATCCCAACAAGTGCAGCTGGTTGGACTCAGTCGATCCTCTGTGGATGTTTTTTTTTTTACCATGTCCTTCAATCCAAACAACAGGAACGATTTACTGTACAGCTATATGCATCCAGTACAACATGCTGCAAAATATGAGCCTCATCTGTCTGCTCAGTTCTCCTGAACATTAAAAAAAAAGGTTAGCGCCCCCTGCAGTACACTAGAGCAGCCTGTAGGTGTCAGTAGGGGTCCCAGCTGAGCTTGAAAGATCTCCATCTCCTTGTTTATCAGTTTAGAGCGCTGGGACCAAGTGTTGAGTTGTCAAGACAGATGCTTGATAAATAGGTTCTGTGTCTGTAACAGAACTAACCTCCCATGTGTATGCTGGAGCGTGGGAGTGTGTCTGTCTGTGTTTATCTCACACATCGTCCCTTAGAGAGGATATATGTGCATGACACTTGCAGAGCCCCAGCGGGGTGGTTTTAATAGTCCCTCTGCAGGTTGCACCGTCTTAACCCGTATACAATCCTTACACTCCCTGACCAGAGCACAGAGTGACGGAGTAAACTCAGATATTCTTGGTCATCCCTCTTCTGTCCAGTCTACCTCCTCTCAGCTTTCTCCACACCTGTTATGTGTCTGACTTCTGGCAGCCACAGCCAATTAGTGAGCATCTATTTGTGGTTTTTGAGACGTCTTGAGATGGGCACATTTGTTTTTCAATCTGTGAGAGTGTCTTGCAAATAGAAAGCCTAGATGTCACTGGTTTAAGATGTCCCGGGTCATCGTCACAAAAAGTGTCGGATGCTTATATAATAGTTTCTGTTTATTAAAATAAACCCTGCCCGGGGCAAACTGATGGTGGTTAGAACACAGACCGCAAAGGTGCCTGAGCAGGGAGTCCCTGGTTAGATTGCATTGCATGTCATGTCCCGAGTTTCTTTACCCCATAAGTAAGTAAGTAAGTGCTTGAAATGCTGACAAAAACGTAAACCAGTGACTCGAGTTGTTCTGGATCTACAAACACAAAGGTCAAAATATACAGGACATGCATCTCAGGCATCTCTGGAATTCATGCGGTTGACGTTCTTCAGCCTATTGTAAAGTTTCCAGACTTCTTCACAACAGCTTTGACTTTGAAGTTTAAAAATGATAGGTGTGGTTCGAGAAACCGCCGCAGTCATCGAAAGACCAAAGTATAAGTCATCGTTATGGCCTCCAAGTCTTACATGTCTTTGTTTCTGTAAAAACAAAAATTGCAATGCGACAGAATGACTCCGCCGTTTATCCTGCAGCGAAGAATACGACCAGTGTGATGGATAAGCCAGGTTCTGTTTTATCGGACGACAAGGCTTTCACTGGGGGCCGACAGAGTGTTATAAATAAACACTAGAGGTTGAAAGTTAAACCGGAGTTTGCTCAGAAAAGTAGCTTCAGTTCTTCACTCCCAGTCGACTTTTTTTTTCTCTGAGGGAGGCAGAAGTTAATAGTTTGAAGAGTAGGTCAACGTAATGCCCTAAAGCGCACGCAGAAAAAAAACTCTGCAAGTTAAAAGATCGAAGTTGTGGTAATTCCAAATCAGGGGTACAAGTGTATTATTCATGACGTGTATTTTTATTAAAGGTGGCCCCTTTTCAAGAAGAGCCATCAAAATAGCAGCAGCAATGAAAACCATGTGGAACATGCGTTAACTACTGTACTCACTGTCATGGCTACTGGGCCATTTTTCTGTGCGTGGACACCTGCTCTCGGTGACACATGAGCCAAGAAAACACCCGTTAGACCAACACCTGCTCCTAACATTGTCTTTTATTTGATACTGACGAGTAGAAAACAATAAAAGGGCGACAGATCATGCTAGTATGGAGATATGTACTGTAAGAGAAGCAAAATCAAACTCTAATTTATGTAATTTTAGAAAAATACTGCCCCCAAAACAGCCCGTTATCGACAAGATGTTTAACTCAACTTTGATGCTACGTTTACATGTGTTGCCTTCACTGGCGACTTCACTGTATTGTGAATTATCATCATTTTATTACTGACCTGACCAGTTTTTTTTCTAACTTTCACGTGTGCCGCTCTATTCTAATGACTACATCGTTTTAACTCATCAAGCTGTGTTTGTTACAAGCCTCGGAAATCTTAAATCATTGATGCCTGTGATGGATTTTCTGAGTCAGCTGTGTGCGCAGCAGAGAATCCACCCAGAGCTTATTACAAAAGCACTCCTGCTACACACTCGACAGCTACAAAATATTTTATCAGCCCGTGTCACTCTGGCTTTATTATTTATACGCCTCGCAAAGGTATTTCTTTCAGTTGCAGCATAGCTGCCTGTCACAGATCATCCCGGCAGTAACTGCAGTTCAGTCTTCGGCTCACACTGGCTTAGAGCTCATCCCTGCACCTGAGCGACCTCTGACTTTAACAGCTATCCTCCGCTACAGCACTGCTTACCTGAATGAAGCCTGGGCAGATGAGCGGAGCTGAGAGGGAGAGCAGGGTGATGGAGGGAGCAGAGAGAAGGGCTGGAGATGCAGGTGAGATGTTGAGGAGGAGGAGGACACAATAAGACTTTTATAGCTGCCTCCAAACCTCATGCACACTTACCCCATATACCCCCCCACCCCCACATCCCCACCTCTCAGGATTCTCTCTATTTTGAGAAGGGCGGGTTGGGGGGGTGTTTGTTTGACATGACGCAAACACTGTTGGCCCTGAAGTGTGATGATCGCTTTCTCCGCAGCACTAACAAATCACACACAGGCCTATTAATAATACCACTTTATCTGACTGCCGTCGGACCTTCACTCCACCCGGGGTCTTCTCTCCTTCTGTTTCTGCACAGATCTGTCCTTTATCTGCTGGGATTTATTGTGTTGGGAAGCTTGTGTTGTGTCACTGCCACACTAATTATATTAAAAAAAAGGTTTAAGATCAAAGGGGAGCACTGACATAGATGTCTAAAGAGGGAGTAATGAGTAACAAGGGAAATAAAAGGTAAATACAAACAAAACGCTGGGAAGGGGGGAAAAAAAAAGAAGAAAACCATCAAGTGTATCTGCAAAGTAACTCATGTTCGTGTCACGAAATGTCAGATGAATTATAAATAAATGTAAATAAATCATAAACAAAGAGAGGAGAGGGGAACAACATAGCACATCTCTGCCCTACAAGTAAACACTGCAGTAACCAGCCTCTGTGTTATTATAGGTCATCACGACTACCTCCTGTCATCTTTAAAATGCACTTTTATAACAAATTAGCTCAACTAACAGCTTAGTTCCTCAATCAATTATCAGGTTGGGAATGATTCAGGGATTTGCTGTTGGTTGTTTTAACCTTGACAGAAAAATAATTTAAATAAGAAAAAAGCTATTCCACCAGTTTTGCCTCTTGTACAGTCGTCCTCAAATTTATTCAGACCCTTCTATTAAAGAAAATTCACAACAGTCCCTCAAATAACTAGAAACTGAAAAAAGTAGTAATAAATAAAAATTTGTTAAATTATAATTTAGTGAAATCAGATGTTGCTTTTGAATTGTGGTTGAAAAGAATAATTTAAAAAAAAAAGAAAACAAAACAAAACTGTGAGCACTGTGCTGATGAGCAGTGGTCCAGAATACCTGTCAACAGGTGCAGAAGTCTGACTGAGAGTTACAGGAAACAACTGATGGCAGTGATTGGCTCAAAGTACACATCAGGCTTGTTTGCTTGTTTTTTTTATTTTTTTATTTTTTATTTTTTTTATTTCTGTTGAACCACAATTCAAAAGCAATGTCATGATTACATTTTTATTTATTATTACTTTTGTCAATTTCAACTTATTTCAGCTGTTTTTTTCCCTTCTTTAATGGGAGGGTTTGAATACATCTGAGGACACTTTAAGAATGAATTTGTTGTCTTTTTACTGCTTTATGAATCTTGCATGGTCCCGGGCCCGGCCTTTTTAACAAAGCTTTCAAATCCACACGTTCCTGCACGAGCCAAAATAAGCTCGTCAACATGTACTTATGTATTAATGTTGTAGATTTTTAATAATTAACACCTTTTGCAGCCTCCCAGAGTTGATTTTAACATCTTGCTGTTGGCTCAGCGGCTCTTGTTGGCCTCTCCGTGCCATAAATCTGACCTATTAGTCACATACGAGCCGGACCTGGACGCAGCCCGAGAGCCTCTGCAGAAGTCTTTTATCTGTTTCAGAGGCTCAGCTGCAAACTAAAGGTGACGGAGCACTCGCAGTCGGAACCCCCCGAAGCTATGGAAGGAGCTGCTCGAGGAAATCAGGTCAGCGGAGTCAGTGACCTCTTTAAAATCTCTTCCGGAAACACACGTGCATCGCAGAGCATCTCCTGGTTTTGCTTGATTGACTGACGCGCTTTCACGTCTCATTTAAACGCTCAGTGTTAAAATATTTGATTCTGTTTTCGTTTATTAACTTTATTTGCTTGTGTCTGACTTACTGGATATAATAATCTGCTTTTTTAATAATCGTACAATATTTTGCGTGTGAAGTAACGGGAGATTAAGAAAAAGGATGACTTTTATTATTATTTTTATTGCAAACTGTCAATCAAATCAAACAGGCAGCAGTGTCTTTTAAAATCCATCATCTTTTTTTTTTTTTTAACTTAGCTGCTAATTAATGCATCAGTTTTGTAAATTAGATAGTTTTTTTTTGTATTATTAATCATGAATTCTTATTATTTCCACCATGATTCCTGCCTCTTATGTGAAGCACTCTGAATGACTTCCACTGTAAGAGTTGTGCTACATGCATTTTAATAAGGATTTTGATTCACTGTTAGGATTTCTGACTCCCTACAGACACAATCGTGTTAAAAAAAAAAAAAGAAAATCCTTTTTTCTTTTACCCCAAACAGCCTCCTCTCTTCACTTCTGTCCTCCCTCTATCTCCTCTCATCTCAACACTTTCCTCATCTCTGTTTTACGTCTCCTCCCCTTCCAATTTTCTCCTCTAACAACAAACTTGCTCTTCTTCCTCTGCGTCCACGTCCTCTTCTACCCTCGTCTTATCAATCTGTGTTGTTTTCGTAACTCTCTCTCTCCATTTTCGTTTTTCTTTCTTTTATTCACTTATCCTGAGCGACACACCATTTTGCTCCCGTTTAGTCAAGGCCGCTCGTTTCTTGGTGCAAGAAAAATAGAGCGTCAGAGGGAAACTTGAGGCTGGAGGCAGAAACATATTCGGAGACTTGTCATCAGAAGAGTTTAGCGCCTTCGAGGTAACGCTGAATAACGACACACTCCTCCTCGGATATTTTAACATCAAATACTCGTCTTCTGCAGATTTTGTGTGTAACGGGGAGCTGGGAGTCTCAGTGTTTTTTTAGAGTTTTCTGCTCTAACTTTGGTTTTAGTGTCTGTGTTAGTCGACACCATGACATGTGCACCTGTGCTCCTGAGAGAGGGCAGCCATTATTCTCACCGCCACAAGACTTATAAAGAAAACGCAGCTTTGAAACGCTGAAATCTGCATCGTTGCTCTGAAGTTAAACCTTTGTTTATCCGATCAATCAACTCACACGCACTGTTGAGCAAGACGGAGAGACGAGACGAGATGTAAACTACATTCCAAGCAGTATACCTGTCACGCAAGATTTGGAATTGTGTTGCTCAACACCACCGTCTCCGTCCGTGTCCTGCACTGACCCTCTGTTCTGTCTGTGTCCTGGGACTGTCTTAGCCTTCTCGTCCCTATCGAATTACCCCCCATCAGCACTTTGCAGCATTGTAGGGAAATGGGAACGGGAGGGGCGAGGCGGCGAGGACAACATGCTGGAAGGATTTGTTGTCGAGGGGGTAAAAGGGGCGAGATGGACAGAGATGCTGAGATACATATGGATGGGTTGATGTAAATGAAACGGAACGGGGCTGAGAGTTTGGAGACAGTGGAGACAAATAATGGGTTTGACACCTGTACTTTAAGACCTGGAGAATATCTTTTTAAAAAAAATCGTATTACACACTGGCAATGTTGTTCATTCATGACGCAGATAACTGAAAATGAAATCACCAAATAGCCCCAAATACTGAAAAGAGGCAGTGCAATAGTGACGTAAACACTTTAAAGGTGCTTTAACAGTTAAAAGCTGTTCAGTGTGCTTCACAGGCCGAACTGAAAATAGAGAGAAAGTGAGAAAGACAGTGACAGACAGAGAACGAAAGTGAGATGAATTAAATGTGTTTTTAATGACCAACTTGCTATTCGGCAACAGGTGGTGCATTAAGTCATGGCAGGAGTAGCTGCACGCCACAGCTGTCTGTGTGAGGAAGTGTGTGTGTGTGTGTGTGTGTGTGTGTGTGTGTGTGTAATATTGATATCACCGGGGCATCCCTTGTCCACACACCCAACGATTAGCAGATATTAGCCCTAAAAATAAACAAGGGGGAACCCGGTGTCTGTATTGATAGGAGGACGTGTGCAGCAGTAAAATCTGGGATGTGCGCTTGTAGAGGGACGACCCAAACAGCTCGATCACTCAAGAAGGAGTGTAACTCTGTCTGGTTTGTTACCAGCACGAGCCAACATGCGGACAGGTCCGTCAAAATGTGTTTTGCAACACGATCGCTGATAGATCATTTGTATTTAGGATTGACATCTGTTCATTTTCGGTCTAGAATCAGAAACAAATAAACAGTTACGATGAGTTTTTCCATATTATTGCATATGTAAAGAGTCACTAGCTCACAGATAAGTATTACCTGACTCTGCAGTTCCTCACAGCTCAACTTTTTAGCTTTTTTTCACCTTACCAAGGAACCAAGTGAGTAAAAATGCCACAAAACACCCACAAGGGCCTTCAACCCTAATCTCCTGGGACAAAGTTCTGGTGTTTATGACTCCTTATGTGGAGATTGCTGCTGCTTTTATGCGTAAAGTGAAAGAAACTGTGCACACAGGCCAACACAAAAGACTGAAAACATTACTTGTGGAATATTTTTAAGCTGTGGACTAACTGAACTATTACACATTTTGGTGTGACACTGTTGAGTCTGGGCTGCACGGTGGATCAGTGGTTCGCTAGAAGGTTGCCAGTTCGCGTCCGAGTGACTGGC